TTACAACCCGCAAGGTAACGGTCAAGTGGAGCGCTTAAACGGTACGCTATAGAAAGCTATATCTTTAGCACTGAGAACTAGAGGTCTGCCGACCTCTCTATGAGAAACAGTCCTCCCAGATGCGTTACACTCTATTCGCTCACATCTTTTCGTCGCCACCAACAATGCACCCCACGAACGATTGTNGGTTGACAACTCCAGGCCCGGTGCTGCTCAAACGAATGGATCGAACTTCGGAGTACGACTTAGTAAACGAAGCTGATCTCATTAGCTGTAATCCACATTATGCTCTCGTGAAAATGTCCGACGGCAGGGGAGAAAATGTTTCCACTCGACGCTTGGCCCCACCGGATGATCTACTGGTTTCGACCTGCCAGACAGCAAAACCCTCACAGTTAGAAACTCCGCCTTCTAGGTCGACAGATAAATAAAACTAATAGACTGTTTTGTTATAAAGATTTTTGTTTGGCACGCAGTCTGAAATCAGACGTGTGTGAAAAAACATACATATTATGATCAACCAATGGAAAAAGTCCTGAAGTTATTACTTGATAGTTTTCCACTCTGTGCGGCTGTTCAGAAGAAAGTGTGTGTAAAGTACATTCCCGTTTGGGAGAGGCAATGTTTGATTGAATCACTTTGCTATTCATTGTTGGTATTAGTAAGTTTTCTTAAATCCATGCATTCTTCAGGTGTTCTGTGGTAATTTTATGGTTCATTTATTTTGATTGTCACACTCCAGTATATCATTTAACTTTTGCCAAATCGGTGAGATCGGTGTTCGATTTTCCCAGCGAAGCAAATAGTTTTGGGCTCGTGAAGTATAATCAGCCCTACATTCTTATTTTATGAATTTATTGAAAAACGTTTTGGAATACATGTGGTTCATTTCGTAACACAACTTGTATGTTGTTCAGACGAGCGCCGTTCACATTTCATATTTGAGCCTAAGTCATGGTGATGCGTTTTTTTAAATAATCCACAGAATTCTGCGTGACGACCGTATTCAACGCTTAACATGCCAGCACCGAGGCACGTATGCTGATGACTGTCTTGTGGAGCGTTGCCAATCACGATGCTACATTGTGGCCACTTGCGATCGAGATTTGAAGCGCCGGATCCGCAAGATTACTGGCGTTCCAATCATGTACATTCGAGGACACCGGGTCACGGTGGAAAAAATGCCCATGGCTTTGGGTGCGCCGAAATTGTGAACTATCTGTTTCCGATTCGTCCACTCAATTGCCAGTCCTGTTGATCATGTTCTTTCACCCCACCCTCTCACTCAGTTCCTGTGTGTCGTTTCTATTCTCGATTGTACATACATTCTCGGTTGTACAAAAACCTGCGTGATGATGTCATATGGTATTCTACTGTTTACTTTCAACAATCGTCATGAATGCTGATGTGAATGGAAGGTCGACTGAAATGACGTTTGGTTGCCTTCTGTCCTAAATAGTCTTGTTTGCCTCATTGTGAAATTATGGCTATTGAATGGTGCTTATTTAACACCAGGCAGTTTTGCTGTCGTCCGGTTCGATACCACGCAACTCCAAGTTCCGGGGCTTAGGTTACCGGTTTTCATCAATGAACAGCAGGTCCTCATGTCTAGGGGGTTTACCCCGTCTGCTGTTCATCACTCTAAAGTGTGTTATAACAAAGGGGAAGAAGCAATTTTCACCCTGTTTTCTAGGACTGATTAGGAAAAGGGTATAACTAGCAACTCTGTCTCGGGCGAGGAATGGCTGATAACGAAGTATCTGAAGCACTGATGGCAAATGATCTGGTATCAGCAGCAGACATTCAGTTGTGACTCTGTGGATCAGAGCTTGAAGTTAGCGCAGCACATATCCATGGTATACATTTCCAATTTTGTTTGCCTAAGTAAGATTGTTGTTGTTGATGTTGTATCGAATAAAATTTGCATTCGAATTGGTTGAAATATTTTTATGATTATTGCTACTGCTGTTATATTTTCATAAGGTGGTGCCTGGACGAGGATAGTTATTTGTTATGTTTGTTACGGTCAGGGTATCGGTAAAATGGCTTACATACAACACAGTGACTCATTTGGAATGAGTCTTCCGAATTCCCACACGCGCACAGGATAGTTAATGGAACGGTCCACTAGTAGTTGCGCATTCTTGTAGTTGCCAAACTGAAGATAGCAATTCGCTCCAACAGATCTTGTTCAGTTTTGACCATTGAAAGTAACTGCAAATAGTATTCTTTTGCATGCTACTCAGAAATGTGAGTAGCACCTCAACACTACTGTTACTAATACTGCTTCACTGTCCAAATCATCGTGTATCTATCTATCATCTTATCCACATAATCTGTTACAAATACGTTTCCTGCGATTGAAGGGTGCGTAACCGGTAATTTCCTACTTGATACTCGTCTATAACCGGAGTGAACCCAGTTTCTTTGAGAATGCTGCCGAGGTTGAGTCGGCCACATTTTCACTCTTCTCCAAACTCTGGAACACCGACATTCCCTTCGTAGACACACCATTTCTATCTTCCTCGGTCTGAAAGCGGCTTTGGATTCATTTGACCGCTCCAAAATCTGGGGCTGCCTTTTCCTGAAGGGTGTTCCCGAGAAGTTTATTTCAACATTACTATCCCTTCATACTAATAGCCGAAGTCGAGTCCGGGCTTACGGCACTTTTTCCTCCGAGTTCACCTCGGGAAGTGGTGTTCGTCGGGGCTGCCCCTTTCTACTTTTTATTTAACGTTTTCATAGATTTACTTATGGAAACAGCCCTATCCTTGTACGAGGATAATGGCTTCGATTTGTTCCCAGATTGCGGACTCTGAATTGGAGTATGCAGGCGTCATTGTGCTGCTAAGCGAAGATCCAGGTAAGTTGCACGCTTTTCTAGATAGTTTGAGTGCTAGTGTAGCCATGTTTGGTATACATTTTGTACCTGTAAAGTGCAAAATGTCGCTGCAAGAATAATTTAACTCTGCTCCTAACTTCACATTATCTGCGGAAGTGTCAGAGAAAGTGGATAAATCTTGCTATTTGAGGCAGCTACATCTCACCCGGTGGACGCATCACAGATTAAGTGTCAGCCCATGAACTGGACTAGCAGTTGCCAACTGGAGACATCTGTGGTGCTGCCGCGACACCGAGCTGTCCGTGAAGGGTCGAGTGTATGCTGCAGTAGTCAGACCAGTGCTGCTTTATGGTGCAGATACTTGACCATTAAAAAAACATGATAAAGATAGACTGTCGGTGTTTGAACACCGCTGTCTATGTAGCCTTACACGAGCCTTGTGGAGCTACTGGTCAAGCTATACTGAGGTCAGTCGCCGAGTTTTATGTGATGGTGGTCGTCCACTGGCCCAAGCGGTCGACCTCCATATATTACGCTGGTTGGGAAATTTGTTGCACATTTCTTCGAATAGGTTTCCACATCACCCGATGTTTTCCGAGTTATGTAGTGGATGGAGGAAGTTAAAGGGTGATTAAACTAAGACTTGTTGAGAGATTTTGAAAACTCTGATCAGGAGACTCAATCATACAGGTCGCGTTTGCTCCCTGGATGGTTAGAGACACTGTGATGTGGCTGAGTTTCGCAAACGGTG